TGGCTATTCCAGTCTCCCTTGTCTTTATGGACAATGCTCTCTGGTTACAGATTATCTAGAAATGTGTAGAAATCGAGCGCCAGGGGTTGCGTTAATTGTTAAGTAGCTCGTGGGCGTTAGACAACTACAGTTAAATAGGTAGCCATGTGCATTTTAGTAGGCATAGTTATTACTGCACCCAATACCACGGACATCTTTAGCTTCCTATGGTTACTTTTAGTTTTACTAGTTTAGTTTTTAGCCTAGTGTTTAGTTTTTTAGTTTAGTTTTAGTCATATTTTTATTTGGTTTAGTTGTTAATTCAATTTAATTTTTTAAGCGACATACGGTTGCTTTTCGGCTTATCGTACTACAATACCTGTTCAAATGCATTAGAAGCTATGGTGAGTTTTAAAAAATGGTAAAAGCCTCTCGTTTATGGTTTTACTTTAGTCTCGTAGTTTCGATAGAGTCGATGTGAGTGTGTACCCAGTTCGCGGGTACTTTTGCGCGGTTCTTGTTTCCTATTGGCTGTATATATCATTTAATTATCGCACGCCAAACATTATATTATTTGAATAATTATTCCTATTATTTCCCGCAATATGACCAAATGATAAAACCCCTATTAACACCAATCCCGTAGGGCAGAGTCCTGGGGCTAGGAATATCCAAGGGGCATGGCCAACTTTATTTTTATCGAGGTTACTTGACCCCATGCACGCCCCCGCTTTTTATACCTATAGCCCTGGAGCACGTGCCCAACTCGGTGCGCCTCTGGAAGTTGGCCGTGGAGTTGGAGGACGAGGAGGACGCGCGGGTCATGCTGAGCCTTGCCGTCGAATGCTGTCCTACCTCATCCGAGCTCTGGCTAGCACTGGCCCGCTTAGAGACCTACGAGAGAGCACGTATTGTGCTTAACAAAGCCCACGAAAACATTCCCACGGATCGTCAGATCTGGTTCGCTGCTGCACGTCTAGAGGAGGCCCACCAGAATCCCGCCATGGTGAGCAAGATCATCGAGACTGGCGTGTGCGCTCTCAAGGCCAACATGGTGGAGGTAAATCGGGATGAGTGGATCAAGGAGGCTGAAGAATGCGAGAAGGCCAAAAGCGTTCTCACCGCACAGGCCATAATGTTAGTACAATCGACCATCTTGCTTCTTCATTCATTCATTTTCATTTTTTTTCTCTCTCTCTCTCTCATAATGATGCACTTTACCTGGTCCGCTGGTCGACGTAGGTTATGTTCTGAGAACCATAGACTCCCACTTACAAGTTTTGTTTTGTTAATGAAAGAATATGCGAACGCCTTTGAGCTCCGTGCTGATTACAAAGTGGCTAAGCAAAGTATCGATACAAAAGGTAAATTCAAAAAAAGGTTGTTTCCATGTTTGCCGGGTAAAAACAAGTAGCAGCCGGTTAGCCGACACAAGTAAACATAAGCGGTGGTTAGTGTGTAACTGGGAGGTGAGTAGCTTGATGTCTGTCCAGTTTGTTCTTAAATGAATTTATGCCATTGGATTGAAAAACATCCGCGATCAGAGCGTTCTACGTTGCATCCACTCTGTTTGTTGAGAAATCCTTGTGTCTATCCGTCCTTCTAGCGGGAAATGATCACGTGAAGTGGGTGTATTAGCTGCGTGGAGCAGTCAACTAGCGGACATTTTTCACAAATGCCTTCCAAGTCCCCGCAGAATACACGGGAAAGGGATTAACAGGGAGGTGTTGAAAAAAAACCTCCTCCTGAACCGAGCAGTTAACCCTTAGCTGACTGAAAGTGACTGTCGCCTAGGATTCCGATACTGACCAAAGGAATTAGGTCGTTTAAACGATTAAATCGATCAAAAATCTCTAATTTTGCTATTAATGGTCCAATACTTACTTTCAATTCTGCTTATTAAAATGACGATATGATGGTCGTGTCAAAGTTCTGAGGTGTTGCTAAATTGCTTCGTGAAACGTAGCTTTCTACGTTCATTACTCATTCCTTATACAGTATGGCGCGGTTACAATTATTGCCCGTACTGTAGGCGGTCTGTCGCTAATTTACGGAGAGGACCGATTCTCGCGTCCCGGCGCTAACCCTAAACCGAATACTTACCATCCTAACCTTAACAATGACACTAATCTCCCCAAAGCCAACCCTAATCTCCAAAATTTAATTCATAAACCTAACACTTGCCCTCATAACACTAAAGCTAATCGTCCTAAACCCTCCTGGATTTTAGCTCAAAGTCACATATATTTTTGGGGTTCTTATTCCAATATCCTACCATGTAGCACAGTATCGCCCGTTCAGCGATCACCTTTTCACTACTAAATAACATCTGGATTCGTCTGCTACTGAACGTGCTTAGCGACATACGACCGTCGTTGAGCCACTGATGAACGGCAGAGTTGCTGTCATTATTAATAATACATTTACCTGGTCACCATATAACTCCAACTGCACCTTCACGGTTTCTTTCACCGTTACCATGACCGATTTCTAGTTTGCAGAACTCCAAATCCAACTAATCGATCCTGCCGAGTCCGTAGCAATAGTTAGTAGTATTAGCTGTAGAATATCTCATATTCCCGATGCCTATCTAATATCTAGTCAACTGTTTATTACGCAGCAATAATGCAATGCCTCAGGAGGTGGCATAGCCGAGATCTTCCCCTTGACTGACTGCCTGCACCCATAGTCGTCTGAAAGGCAGATTCCCTAACTGAACGTAGCTGTTTCGCGTTTGTTAACAGATCTTCTACCTTTAAATCCAAAATCACTGTCTGCATAAAGTTGCAGATCGGTTATGAACCACGTCTGCAGATAGTACCGCTGTTTGGTCGCGATTGCATTTTCGTGCAATCCAAAATGCAGACCCTTCCACTTTTGACTACCTATGAGCACCCCGAGTAGCGGGCAGTTTCTTAGCTTCTAGCCTGCGGAGCTTTCCACAATTGACCTTATTATTCCGTCTTTCTTCTCTGCAGTGTTTCGCAGTTCACTTTATTGTGGTGTATAGTTCGCTCATTTTTGCGTCTTTTTGTCTTCCTCCTCGCTTATCTAGCAAAGCCATCATTGGGCATGGCATCGAGGAGCAGGACAAAAAGCATACTTGGCTGGCTGACGCTGAGGCCTGTTCAAACAACGGTGCCGTGGAGTGTGCTCGTGCAATCTACGCTGTCGCTCTGGCCGCTTTCCCCACCAAGAAGAGCATCTGGCTGCGGGCAGCCTACTTTGAACGCAACTATGGCACTCGGTAGGGTTCCCCATAAGTAGTTTTAATGTCCATCACCCTGTCCCGGCTCCTGGCTGATCTGACTTCATCCTTTCCCCTCTCCTATAACCCGTATGCACGCGTACGGCAGATCGACTTCTATTCTACTCTTCTTTCTCCGTCTCCATCGCCAACATTATCAATGTCACGCTGAATATGCGTAGCCACGTTGCTCTGGCGCTTACTTTGCCACCTGTGCATGACAACAGTTTATTAGGGTCATCGATCACTGCGGTGTTACTTCCGCCCGTTACTGAGGTCTACTGTTGTAATAGATGTGAACATTCGATTCCCAGTCGGTAAGTAGGAAGAAGAAGAAGAAGAAGAAGAAGAGGAAGAAGAAGCGTTCACCATGAGACCAGAGAACCATGAGCCAGAGTATTCATTCTCTGGAGGGAGATAGACGAGACAACTACCCGAAACGTCAGATACAAAATAACCTCCCCCCCCGGCTGACGCTCTCTCTTCTGGTCTACTGCCATGTGTGATGATATTCCATGCTTCCGACTGGTCGGACTGATTGTCTAGGCCCCTCGGTCTCGTAATCTGTTCTGATTCACTGAAATGGTAATGTTTATATGTGAATGCTTTCAGGGGTAAAGAAGCTAGCTTTTTTTCAATACTTCCTCAAATGAATCTGTCAAGGTGGTTGCTTTAATGGACGGGACGGTGGTGGCAGTTCCGTATAGGGCCCAGCACAGCTTATTTTTCATGTAGATGTTTACTTACTTTGTAGCAGTAGGCATTTTTTGCCCAATTTTGGCCTTAGCTTGAGCTTAGTTATTGTTTACTAAAGTTTTTCGTTCAGTTTATTTTTAGTTCACTTCTGTTTCCCTTTTTGGCGACCCGCAGTTGTTTTTTGACTTCGAACCTATTGCGAGTTTTAAAAATGGGGAAAAAAGCCAACCTATGATAGGCATAGAGTTGATATAGAGCCGCCGATTGCGTCCAGTTGGGCCCTCTTGATCCCTATTGCTTGTATTTTTCATTTTAGTTATCGCGCGCAATTATTTGGTTATTTTAATAATTATTCTCATTCTTTTCTATTTTATACGCTCTACTTTTTAGTTATTTTTTCCCCCATATGCCCCACCCATTTAACTCCTATTACCACCGCTCCCGTATTACAGAAAGATGGGAGTTTTGCGTTCTGTTGTGAACCCTAAATGTAACTTTTACCGGGATAGTGTTATGACTTTTGGGCTGCTTTCTGTTATTGCGCCATTCTGCTCGACTGCTAAATACTCTCATTGCCAGCTTGCCTTGATTCCCCGTCTGCAGTTGAAGTTTGCCGATAAATACGAAAATCCACCAGAATCTTCGTGTAAGTAGAAAGTTTACATTGAACGTTTATGTAGTGCGAAGGTCGTTTAGTCAGATATTATACGATTTAACATAATAGGCCATCCGTCAGACTGTTCATCGGTGTCTCCTTAGGGAAATTGACGTTTCCATGGTTCCCACATCCTCCTCCTCCTCCTTGTGTCTCATACCGGAGGCGGAATAGCATCGTTAGTGCAACGCTTGCCCGGCAGCTTTTATGTGGGCGTTACCTACCGTGTGACCTAATCTTGAGTAGACTTTAATCTGAACACACCACCGACAGTGATTCACCGACTGTACACTCTGAACTCACCGCGAATGCCTTTCTTCACCTTTTTTTCACCCGAAGTGAAACTCTCGAGGAACTCCTAGAA